AAAGCAAAAATGGGATGGCAAATTATTCTCTCTTATTGTCAACATTATCACTAAAATATGAACAATCATTAGTAAGGTCAAACACAAGTCTTCAGTGTCCAATAAGTGGATTGCTACAACTTTACTATCTGGTAAGCAATGTCTCTATTATTTATGTACTTGAGGAAATTACTCTTGGGCAGCATATCATTCATCCTTATCATCGGGTATTTGGGAAATCGCATGATGAAATAAGGCCGACTAAAGAAAGATAAAAGGAAAAATAAAGATGATGCAGTTGTACACAACAATTTATTTCTGAAGTCATATGTTTAAGATGTAGACAACGATGAACTTCATTTTATCTGGAATCACGTTTTCAACTACGTATTTGTAACCGTTAGAAGACTTCAGCAAGTAAAGTGTACTACCTTGTACACAGTTGAATGACACATTTGGTGAACTAGGAACAACTAATTGTGTTCCAAACACTGTTCACTATGAAATACTATGCTGTTCTGTAGGCTGTTCTCAAAAAACCGGATAAATATGGGATGATTTTCGTTTACTTGGTCGAGTGTTATTATTGGTAGAAAGTTAGGGGCGGAGAAAGCAAAACGTGGCATCAGTGCTTGAAGTCACTAACTTCTAGTTTGAGCCATGTTGGTAGATGCAGACTACTTGGTTGTGGTCCGCGTGACCATCGTAGCCAATGGTTGGAGACTCTTGGTGACATGGCTCAAAATCGATCACAATGGCGTCGGTGTATACATTCTCGGTCTTCCCTTAAACTGAGTAAAATCGCTCCATGTCTTTCTACGAATTAATTCTTTCTTCCTGTACTATATCCTTATCGCGATCTTTCTTTTATACATTACCACCTCTGAATTAACCACTTTTATGGATCCGGTGTCCATCTTGTTGTGTTAATGAGGTATGGCAACTTGGACCGTTGCATATATGTGCCTGGTCTTACTTTGTAGCTGACTGACTGACTGTTATTATAAAATTAAGACAGGAAGTTCAGTGAAGTGATCTCTTTTCAACGAATGTATTATCAAGCTGTACAATCGTATATATATGAAAAAAGTACTAATTCCGTGAGGAAATGTGAACACAATTAACCAAGATGACGCAATAGGAAGATTATAATACTAGATTACGTAATACGAATGATAACAATAGATTTAGTGAATATAATAGGATGAATAAAGTGTTTTTGTTATAATAATTAAAGGTCATAGAGGTGTAGAAATAAATAAGGTGATATGGTGAGTATTTATGAATAAAATAAAATAATGAGAATATAAGTGTAGGGGAGAATGCAGCAATAATAATAATAAGATGATCAAAATAATTAAGGCCAAGGTAACGATAACTGTTGTGAACAGGAAAACAAGAAGCCCTGACAAACTATGAAAGCTATTTTTCGGGACGTTATTCAATTTTATTCAAAGCTTGTAAAACACTGACATTTAATTTTGTCACCGATCTATTCTACAGAACATAAGCTTTCGTCCGATGTATGATTCATTGTCATACCCTTTTTGTTCCGAAGCTATTGTAAGTAAAACATAATATTTTTCACCCTATTTTCTACTCTAATTTCCAGCTTTGGACAATTGTATTATTCCTAATTATCGTATGTTGTGGTCGGGTTATTCACTTATTTATTCATGTACCATTTTACACTGAACTGAACTGAAATCAGGAATGGATCGAGTAGTGTTCCAGTTGTCTTGTCTTCTCTCATCTGCGTGCTTGTCAGCCAATTAGGTGATAGAATAGTTTTCTTCTCTCTACCCCGTTTCGAACTCACGCGTACTAGCCTCAAGGTTAGGTCGGTCAGCCTATCACGCCAAGGTCTTAATCTGGATTAGATAAGTATCCTCATCACCAAAAGTGGGTAGACAGACCAAGAGACATAACAATAACGATAAGACGTTCTTCATTTGCACGCATAGTTCTGGTTTAAGCTCCTGAATGGTAAGAGCTTCGGCTATTTTTAAGAGTTGGATGCAAAGAAATCTGGGTAGATTTGAACGAATCATATAAACAACCTTAAGATTAGATTGTGGATCTGTAGAATGGTTACAGTCGATTAGGTGTTCAAGTACAGAACTCCTAACTGCTTTCCTTTCACCTTTATAGAACCAAGCTGGGATATGTTCCCGTATCCGAGTTGAAAGCGAGCGCTGGCTACGGTCAATGTACCTTGCTCCACAAAAGCAGGTGGACTAGTAGATGCACATAGAGGCGACCAGACGCGGAAGCTTATCTCTTATGGATACAGAAAGTAAGTTCCTACTAGTGAAGGTTATTCGCAGTTTAGCCGCATTAAATGTTCTTCTAATCGTTGTTGTTAGACGATTTTTGATTACGTCTGATGCTCGATCACCTTTAAATTCCAGACTTATATAAAGGTTTTTCTTCGGGACAGAACAACTAGATTTCTTGTCGTAACTACTTCTATGAAATGTTCTGGGTAACCATTTTCATCAAGGTTTTCTCGAGGAATGCGAGTTCTTCGTTAATGCAATGAAATTAGGCCTCATGAGTGTAATTTAGTATACGTTGGGTAAACACACAAGCGGCTGAATGTGAGGTTAAAGAGATAGGTTATGCGGATCACTAGTGTAGGTGATTAATTTGGATGGTCAGGGTCTATTCAAATTGGACAGGAATGATATGGACTTTTAGCCTACGTCGAACTTACCTTGCGGTAAATGCCCAATGTGGTTTATTCCATAGTGATAAACAGGTAGATTGATTTCCTGGTTAAAATAAATGTCAGAGCAAATTTACAATTGACTGACCACTGGATAGTGACTAATGTCATGTATTCAAGTCCTTTTTAATGTGCATATAATTCTACTGACTAAGTTTCGATGTGGTCATTAGTCTTGGCGACTCGATATCGCGTGCACTATTTTGAAGTGTAAGGTGGTGGTTGGAGGTAGTCGATTGGAAGCTTTGTACCTAGACTTCCTGCTATTTGGCGCTCGTCAGCAAGGTGTACCTGCAATCTGGATGGAACTAGTGTTGTTTGACAGATTTGGTTCCATGTCAAACGGCTCGACAGCCAGAAGCGTTGACAGTGAGTTATCCGGGCCGCGACTGACCACCAGTAGAACCGAAATGTATTTACAATCGACTGGTTGGTCATTAATGTCATGTATTTCAGATTTTTAGAATCAGTAATCCTAACTTGTAACAGGATGTTCTGGTGTAGAGTCTAGAACATTACAATTTAGGGGGGACTTCACATTTGGATCATTACTCTGCAGTTTAATTATGAGCGTTTACTTATTACGATAGATTGCGACACCCATTGTCATCAGTAAGTATGCACCTCAACTTTCTACTTCTTCAGTCAAGAATTTCCAGAAGATTTCTCGGGATTAATACTGCTTAGCATGCAGTAAATTTGAAGACTGATAGTTGTATGTCAAAACATGGCATCAATCTCCGGAGTCTTTTGCTTGTGCTCCGAGCTTGTAGGAGTCGCAAACGCCAAGAAACATAGATGGCAAGCAATTCCTATGACGTAGATGCATTTATTATTTTTTCATCTTAAGTGTTAAGTTGACCAATAAATCCCATAAAATTCATTGGTGTTTTATTCATTTCTTCCAAGTACTTTTAAAATTAATTTTTTCGAACTTTCCATTACTATTGCTGTTAGTATTCTCCCCTTCTTTGTTTTTCCTCCACATTCTGATTTTAACTTTGAAAAATTGTACGGACACAGGATTCTGCGAGTTTTCACATCGTTCATGTCTAATTGTCTTTTCGTATTCAGTGAATTACCATGCGGTTAGTTGATTCGCAAATAATTGATCACATGTTAGGTCACTCTTTACTGTGGGCTTATTGTTAAGTCGCCGTAGGAATTAAATCAAATTGAAAAGTTTTAACGATCGGATTTTGATATGGTAACTATTTGATATCATATGCGTTCTAAATGTTTGAAGGCTACTTATTTGACCTTGGCTGTGGGGAATCATTCATAGATTTTTTTAATTGATATCAACCTGTGATAAGAGCACTAATTTGCTAATTTCCTAAAAGCATCCACTAGAATAACTATTCCTTTACATTAAGACTGAGTCTATTAGTGAATATAACCTAATAAGCCACAAGATTTTTCATCATAGTTGTTTATGGGTACAAAATATTTAACCGTGAAGTTGACAGGATAATTACGTCTTTTCAAACGTTATCAACATAATTCTATTATCCCTATTCTTCAGCAAAACTGGGAATCATGTGAAAATTAACTTTGGTGAAAAATCACAATTAATGAATATAACATAAATAAATAGTTCACAAGTACTGATAACTATGAGCTTGATTTGTAATTACCGAAATACAGGTTCTTACAGTAAGTGAAAAAGATGATTTAAAATTTACTTTACAATCACAAATATTAATCGAATCGACTACTATATTACCTAAACTGATCTAATGTGATTTTTAAAAAAAGTCAAGTATTACTGATTAAAGAAATCATCAAGAAATATGGCTTATTAATGAGTAGTGCGCAGCATTTTGATATCAAAGTAGTCAAACAACCCCCGGCTTTCGTTTCTCTTACTCTGAACATCAGTTTATTTTTGTTTTAAAGGATATAAATTATTTTTGATTGGTGAAATGAACAAATTAGTCATTTTGCATATACTGGATGCTAACTTAATGAACAAATGCTTATTAATCCATTCCATCCTCAATAGCTAACCTTATTTTCGGAGACTGTGACGCGTACTGATATCTTTTGGTGTTTCTACCTATAACCTATAAATTCACTGAATTTTTTTAAACTGACTTACGTTTGAATGCTTGATTAACTTTGATAATCTGAAAGTTATGCATGTTTTAACTGTGGGTAACATGATTATTGGTAAGAGACACGTTATTACATTTAGAAAGTCCTTAATTTTTTACAATCATGATTTAATGGAGTCATATAAAAATTGTATGGATCATTCTACTTACGTCATCACGTTATTGGTAGACATTTGTCATTTACTCCGATATTTTCCTATTTCCGTCTCAAATGCATTGGTTTGTTCTTCAAGTTGGTTGGCTAGTTCTTCTGCTTCCTTTCTCCATTGTGACGTTAACTAATAGGGATTATAATAAATGTATTTGACTATGCTTTCAAATATTATTAAACTATAAACAATATAAACGGAATATACATTCATTGATAAGAACATGAAGCCGAAAATGCCAAAACCACAAACAATTATAGTAGAAAAGAAAATTTTATACATGAATATCGACTTCAAAGGTGACAGAACCGCATATATCTTAAAGAGGAGAATTTCGGATTCGTTAAAAAGGACATTCTTCGCAGCAACATTGAGAATATTATTCTCCAGCCGATCACTGTTCACCAATAATCTGAAAGATAAATTATCGCATTTGACCAACTCAATGTGCATTTATCAATTTACCTGCTCTTGTGGAGCTAGGTATATAGGTCGTTCGATGCGTACTTTATCCAAAAGAATTCAAGAACATTGTCCGGCGTGAATCGAGCAAGGTATATTGGATAGAATACTCATTCCTTTAGGTCCTACCATGAAAGACAAGTCGGTTGAAGAGCAATAAGACTAAAAGCAGATATCTTGTAGTCCGAAAGGGGAAGTCAACTGCTGACTGTGTGGGTGTATAGTAACAGTAAGACTTTTCCTTTAAACAAGAAGTATATTTAGCGATACCCCTTACAATAAAACAACAAGGTTAGAAATCGTTAATTCTAAAACTACCAGTTCTCGAGATCACTTGATATTGGAATTTTATGAAACATGTCTTGCCGTGTATTTTCTAATTAACCTTTTGGATATAAATGTGCAAAATAACTATCACAGCGCCCATTTTGTGGAAAAAAGGTTACGATTGAAAAAATCGCTTATCTTCTAGGTTTTTCTAAAAGTAGAAAATTATCAGTTAGTTCAGGAAATTGAAGATTTGTCCGGAAAGTAATGATATTAAGCAAATTACTTGGTAATTCCCTTAGTACGGCATACTTTAGATACATTTTATAATATATTCTAGTGAATAAATACTCTTACTGCTTTTCCCTACAAAATATATGCAAAGTTTAAATCCTAAATATAATGAGATGATTAAACACTTATCGTTCTAGTCGAACACCAAAATAGTGTTTTAATCATTATTTAGTGGCTAAAATACATAAATATCAGTAAATAATAATGCTTAACATTTTTACAATAAGTAAGATATCCTCTCTTTATAATTCAGTGAACGTCGTTTGAAATGTAAGAAGTCATAAAAATTTAGTCTTCCAAATGAAGCAAGCTTTAAAAAGCACATTCTGGTGATAAATATAACATTCTATGATGTTGTTGAACTTATTTTACGGAGTTACTGATTTATCTCTGCTTATGGAAATGAGTCAGGGTAAATTTTACTTCTGGGTATTTCAATATTTAGAAAGTTATAGTCATGAAGCGACATTGTATAGAGAAACAGTGGAAACATGGAAGCACCAGAGAGCTATGTTGTCCATAATTGTGATTTTTTAATAGTGCGCTTTCATGGTATCATACGAGATTGGATCCAGTACATCCCAGTCGTGTGGTGAGCATGATATTATTTAATCACTAAGTCGAAAAACAATGGTTCACATTTACATTATAGCTGTTTAAGTTTATTTTCCGTTATACGAACGGATAAAAGTTTAATTTGTGCTAAAACATTAAAATAGTTATTATTTACAGATTGAAATCATGAGTCAGTTGAAGCTAGACCACCATTGAAAACCTGGAAGCACTGGACGGCCGTTTCGTCCTAGTATGGGACTCCTCAGCAGTGCGCATCCACGATCCCGCACCACGCGGGGCTCGAACCCAGGACCTACTGGCTTCGCGCGCGAGCACTTAACCATTAGACCACCGTTGGATGCCGGCTCAGTGGTCTAATGGTTAAGTGCTCGCGCGCGAAGCCAGTAGGTCCTGGGTTCGAGCCCCGCGTGGTGCGGGATCGTGGATGCGCACTGCTGAGGAGTCCCATACTAGGACGAAACGGCCTTTCAGGTTTTCAATGGTGGTCTAGCTTCAACTGACTCATGATTTCAATCTGTGAAATTTCTAAAATCTCCACAAAACCCATTCTGATAAAAATTATTATTTACTTACTATTTGTTGCTTATCTAACAGATTACGCCAATTTTTATCGGTTAATTTATTTACTTTCTCAAGTGTTTCGATCTTTAATTTATACTCGACTTCTTGCATTTTCATTGACTGTTTTATTGAGGTGATTTGAACTTGTGCACTTTTTTGTACAGCTTCTAACTGTTGTTTAAGACTATTCAATTGAAGTTGAGAATTGAACAAAACTTCATTTTGTTTATTATAATGGTTTTCATTCTTTTTCCGTTGTAATTCATTATATTCAAAGCGTTCTATAAGCAATTTGTTCTAAAACAACAAAGTAATTCTATATGATTCATGATTTTAATGAATTCGGTTCGAACCAAAAAACCAACCTTGGTATTGATACCTACAAACTAAGTGAATATTTCTATGGAAAATTTAGGAATGTATTGATAACTATTACTTCCTAGTTATTGTAATCCTTTTTACTTGGAAATGAATGAATAATTGTCGAAATATATAATTTCCATGGAAATACATATAACAATGAACATATGAGTGCCATACAGATTAGTACTAATAAAAGTTGAAGATCAGCTAGGCGTTCCATCGAGAAGGATTTATGCAACATTTAATAGCGACCCTGAGATAGTAGAGAAGTTAGACGACTAAACCATCCAGCTCAGAGAACGAAACACCAAAATAACGACTCTTGAAGTTAAACACAATACTCATAAACAACTCGATGAGCAGATTGAATTTCAAACAATCTGAATTGGTTTAATTTGTTTGTTTTGGGTTATAACGGGTGTTAACAGTATCAAAGAGACTCAAACAAAACTAAGTGCTATCCATTTACATAAGCCTTACACTCAGATGTATTTCAATAGTTTACAGGAACTTACGTCCATACATAAATAGATAGGTTCATAGAAATCATGTGATAGATATAACAAAGATATTACACATAGATCATGCACGTAACTGTCTCGGTAGCTGAAATCAATCACTGTCAACATTTCTCTTGTTTTAAAAAGAAATAATTTATAGTTAATATACTTTGACATTTGTTCAAGTTTTTATCTTTATCGAGTTTAACTTGTTAGGAATGATATTTACCTTTTCATTTAATTGTTCAATTTCGATTTGTTTAGATGCAACTAACTTTTCTTTGTTGTTACATTCAGTTTCCAATCTTAACTTTAATTCATTGCATAAACTCTCAGCGTGTATGGCACGTTTTCTAAAAGTATCCAACAGACAATCCGGTTTCGAATCGCCTGAAGTAGTATTTACATTAAGAACAGATTTACCTTCATTATTTACATCGTTGATATGATGACCAAGGTTGCTTGTTTTATAAAATTCTAATTGAATGGCCAATTGACAGCGTTCCTATATATTAGAAAAATTTGCTGAATGATATTAACGATGCTAATAATCAACTTAATGATTACAATGCAGTTGGTTAGTTTATACTTCTATTGTATATAGTGCAATTCAAGCTTAGACCACCTTTTATATAATAACCAATCCCACATTTTAGGAAGCCAAACGAACTCACATTATTTCTTCATATCAAGTGAAGTAGCTATCTATATCGAGCCTATAAGTGGTGGGCTAAACGAATAGGAGTGCAATCTTAGATTAACTTGAAACTATATTTTAAAAGTTAAAAAAACTTCCTATCCGCCAATATAGTTCTTTCGTTTGAGAAGGAAACTTTATGAAGAAGACAAAATGTAAGAAAAAGTTGACTATCGGTTAAAAAACCCCCCAAAATCAAACTAGGCGTCATTTAGACTTCAATGAATGTTTCTACAATGCATTTGTAAGTATTATCTCATCGTTTTTATTTAAATCAATGTCAGTCAGTCAGTTAACAACGTAGAAATTTGTACGTACGTACATCAGTTCGAGTTGCCATACCACAATACAATTGTCGATTCAAATTCCATAGTGGTAGGGGTAGTAAGGGTATAAGCAGTAATCGGAAACATTAGTTTGAAGATGTCATTCAAGGAGTATAATCCAGTTAAATAAATTTGAGAAAAAACAAGGGACATGAAGAATTCAGAAGATGGGAATTTGTGAAAACACAAATATGGGATGCACCTGTGCCATTGCAAACGATTTTAAGCCATGTCATTCAGGGTCTCTAACCATCGGTCGGCATTGACTCGCGGATCCCAACCAGATAGTCTACACCTACCAACATGGCTCAGTCCACTTGTCAGTGATTTCATGGATTTGTGTCATGTTTTAGTTTGGCTGCCCCTAGCTTTCTTCCAACCTATTCCTACACAATAAAACATCACACGTTGGGGCAGTCGGTGAATGGGCATATGTAACGCGTGTCCCAACCATCTCAACTGATGAAGTTTCATTACTTCACCAAGTGATTTGCCATTCTTACCTAGTACCCGTTTCCTAACAACTGCATTACCTACTCGATGGTCCCAGGATATACGAGCAATGCTTCGAAGACACCTATGATCGAATACTAGTAACCTACGAATATCCTCTAATCTTACCGGCCATGTTTCACTGCCATAAAGTAGGGCGGAGCGAACTGCTGCGCAGTAAACCCGTCCTTTGGTTGGTAGACGGATATCTCGCCGACGCCACAAATGACGCAAGTTGGCAAAAGCTGATCGAGCTTTCTGTATCCGTGCTGAGATTTCATTACACACCAGACCACAAGGGCTAATGAGACTTTCAAGATAAGTGGAGAGGTCGACACGCTAAACTAATTCACTCCCTATCATTGAGACAATGTATTACGGACTCTGCAATATGTAATAGAGCACACGTATTATTGCACCACTTTATATCGTGCCGAAAGGAAACGGGTTTTCAGCACTACTTCGTCTTCAATGCTTCTCTAACTGACGTAAGTTCGTAACTATATATGTAATCTACACTAAATTAGTTGAATGTAATGTTACTTTCAGTTTACCTTTTCCATATGGTGCAGTTCATTTAATAAATTCTCAATATTTTCATTGGCTTTCTTTTCTATTTTATCTATTTCTTCCCTTGTACGTTGACCAGATTCTTCAGTTAGTTTATCGACAACGAGTTGGAGTTTTGAAAGTTCATTTTCTGCATTTTCTCTTCTTTGTATTGCATCATCACGCTCGTTAGTTAATGTTTGACTTAAAGATATTAATTCTGCAACCTGTGATGCAAAATAATATATATAATGCTAATCATACTCTTTGTTCATATAACTGTAATTAGTTGACTTAAAACTTCATCAAATTGGAATTTCAAAAAAAATATTGATTATATTTCTATCGAAAATCTTGGTCGTGAAAAAATCTGAATCACTGATATAGTTCTTTACCAACTGAAATTTCGTAACTTTTGGTAGTCGAGTCTCACTTTCAGTTTAATTATTAGTTGTTGTTTCTAATTTTTATACAAATAAAAGATAGAAAAAAATGGTACTTCATCATGTTAACTGTTTTCATTTTTGAATACCAACATAGCTAAATACGTGTGGGTAAATGATTATTAACTTAGTGAAGTTCATTAAAAAGTGCCTACAGTTTGATCAACATTATTTGGATAAATACTCAATCACATTGGAAATTAAATCAAGTTAAAAGCTACCCTTTCTAGATATACTAGTTATCACAAAATTATAAACTCGAAAAATAATACACATAAGCCAAGTCTTGTATTACGATATCGATAATGCACCAACTCGCGAAACCAGTGTGTACTCATTTTATTTGGAAAAGAGGAAGCGCATTATGCTGTTCATCTTTTATAGAGAAAATGAGAGAAACGGATATCAGACGGCTGTATTCTCATAAAAAAAGAACTACTCATATGTTTACCAAAATATGCCTATCAAGCTCACAATGACTTACAAAGTCCCGTGTACATAGTAACAGTCGGATCACTTTATTCTGCACGAAATACTTATGAAGGATTGCAATTAGATACCTGAGATTCATACAGTAACGAAATCACTGAAACATGTATTATAGAAGACTAAGATGCAATAACAGAGAAAACAAGCAAGACTTGTTCGAGTACCGTTTGCGAGATTGTGGGTGCACTCTGCTGAGGAGTCCCACAGTAAGACGAAATGACCGTTCGATGCTTCCAGGTTTACAACGGTGATCTAGCTTATATTGACTCGTGAATTCGACTGTTAAGAGCTCGATCTATTAAATAAACTCCAAGTACTACAGAAAACGAAACAGCAAATAAATTATTCTCTTTTTATCAACCAATAAACATGATATCAGCCTAATTTAGCTTGGGAAATCACTGCAGAATTTTTGTTTGTGAAAATTTATTTCTTTAGCCCTACAAAATATTCTTTCAATGCTATAAACTGAAGTAATATAATCTATTCGTAGTTTATGGTCAACATTATCTCTAAACAATTATTTTAGTGAGCTCAATTGGGTTTGTAACGTTACTCCTGTAAAAAGAATAATACTAAACGACTTCATACATAATAACAAATAACTTATGGATTAATTATGGGACTATCTATTTAAAAGCAGACAGTCATTTAAAGGGTACAAATAAAAAAGATGGATGGTAAATGTAATTTGAATTTGTCAGTTTTTGAATTGAAGAGTGGTAGGTTAAATGAAAGTAATAAAGTAGTGAGTATCAATCGATGCGAGCTGACTTTCTATAGTATATTTTATAATTCTCTCCAATAATTTTTACCTATGATTAATTGTTATTCATTTATTGATATTACCGCTCACCTTATGTAATGCATCCTCAGTTAGTTGAGTGGATCCATTGTATTGTCTTTGAAGTATAGAATACTTGTGTTGTAATTCACCAAGTGATTTAATAGCACTTTCTTCACGTCTACAAATCTCAATCAATTCTCTCTAGAAATATAGTAAAACCATCTCCGTTCAACGCATAATGTTTCACATATGCAGTTTTATTTGTAAATATTGCAAGTATAGAATATGTGCGGGTAAATACGTTTATAAGTGATATCTACCTTCTGATTAAAACAAGTTCCAAGTAGAATGAGGTGTACGCTCTAGGTTCAACGTCTAATCACTATCTAATATGTGACTAGTCAAGCAATAATCTTCAAATTTGTGCTTTGTTTTACTTTTCCTAGTTGTAGCCGATAAAAATTCTACCCATCGAATAATGAATCAAATTGAACAACACAAACAAGTAAAACCGATAAATGTCAGTCATCATAAGTGGGTTGATCAATCAGTTGTGGATGAGTAACTTATCGGTTTTTTATAGCTAATTTAATACTTAGTAGATAGTAAGCTTAAAAAACCAAGCTTTGAGTATCACACATACGTTTTCAATCGGGGATGATGCATTCAGTAGTACTAGATGTAATTTTCAGCGTGAAACTGGAAACGAGCGAGTTGAAAGATTTTCTCACATAGCTTATTTATTTGTAGTAACTTGGATCGTAGCTTCATTTGCAGTGAATATACTGTCAGTATGCAGCCATATACACTTATTTAATGTGATAGCTCCATCTCTAACATTGTCTATTATTGTCGATATCGCATAGAAAACTAAATATATAATGATATACCGCCTGAATCCCATTCAGCATCAACATTGGGTGTTTAGATATTCATAGGGACGTTCGCGATTAGCTGTAAACAAGATTCCCTTTGTTTTATTTGATTTCAAATGTAAAGCTTTACATATGTAGTAATATGAAGGCAAATATTTTCTGACCCTTAGTCGTGAAATGGCATAAGAATGTATGAACGTAGAGTGGGAGATATTTAACGTATTAAGTGTGCTTAAAACTTGTGATGAATATATTTTGCATTGCTATCAATCATTCTGAAAGATAAGTATTCGATGACTTTGATGAATCAAATGCAGAGTTTCCATATTTTTAAATAAAGGTTATAAACAATTGGGTTTTTTATGCAAGTGTTTAGACGAGTGATAGCTTACTATATAACCACAACTAAATTGAAAGTCCGGGATAAATCGCAAAATGTAAGAATTTTTTGCAAGTTATGAACACTTTCAGTCTGATGCAATAATCCTTTAGTTTGATTTGATGATATCTCCATCAGAAGGTAATGTCAGTTAAACGGACACTGAAAAATAGGGAAGGGCTATATAAATGATTCGTTATGGACTGGGACTCTTAGCACCGTAAAGTTACAAACATACAGGGATCAGACGCGAGGTCTTCATACCTAGCAACATGCATAATGCCAGTCGGCCAGTGAATAGAAATACAATGACGCACATTTTCTATCTTCAATCAATTTCTTATTTGAAGTGATACCGATCCAATATCACCAGTGAATTGTCTTACTACCAACTTAACTAACTTTATAGATTATAGTTCCAATCCTCACTGACAGAATATTTCATATTATTATGGACGTCAATCAACATCGTAACTAAAGTCCAACTGTTATATATTAACAAGATTGGCGTAATTTATGAAGATGGCTGTCACTGATAGTGAGGAGGATTATTACTGTTGGATCAATTTAGCTAGTACACGTGAAGATTTATTGAAGTGAATTGACAAGAAGTTGGTATAATTAACGTTTCATAAAACTAACACGTTAAGTCTACTTAATTTTTGTATAAGGGGTTTACATCTCAGTATGCGAGGTATTTGGATTTTAAGTACTCTACGTTGTCCCATACTTTACTTACTCTTTATAGATTAAACATTTGCGTAAGTTTCCATCATACAGTTATTTTAATTGACAAAATAATGGCATTTTGTATCAACCTGACAATTATTATTCCAAAACAATTAAACTATAAAACTAATTACTTTGAATTCATTAGCTGTCTCTCGTAACTTCCCAAAACCAATCAGTTCATTGTAATGTCCTTTCTTCAAAGTCAATTGCTTTATGTTTTGTTCGGTGAATGATGATAAGCTGTATGAACAAATTTTAATTATTAATTACGATTAATTATTAAAAACGATCAAAAAATATATGATGTTCACTTCACTAAATGATAAATAGTAAAAATAACGTTGAAAGTCAGACTTGAAAACTGAAATGCAGCCTCAAAATAATAAACCTGGATGATTCAAACTTCCGGTTTATGGAGGAATAAGATATATCAATGTTATTGGCAACTCTCGTAATTAAAAGCCAGGACTTAGAGCCCAATATTTTTCATACCGGGTTTGGTCGACTTGATTCATCATATCAATGTTTCTACTCTTCAATTAGTCAGTCAGTGATGAAAACTACTTCAAAATTGAACGAACAACTACAAATCAAATGAATAAACATATAAGAGTTTATAAACAATCACCCACCATTTTAATAATCCAACTAAAACGACTCTCTACAGTTGCAGCTTATGAATAACTCAGTCAAAAATAGATCTCTTGGTCTGAATGTTAAAATGCGAGATAAATGTACATGTCAGTAATATCAAATGAACAATCGTTATAGAAGTAATGTGTGGAAATGAATACGAATACATCATAGTGATTCACACCGTTTTTCAACTTTTGAGCCATCATATACAAGTATTTCTCTTTGTGTAATTATCCATGTGTAGTTGTGAAAATTTTGTGTTTGTGTCCATTATCACTCACTCCACTCGCCACCTGTTTTGGCTTGTATTTATCTATCTTCCTAAATGCTGAATCATGCTTACTAAAAATGAGAAGGCTGGAAACCTTTCTCTTGATCATATCTCTTACGGTTTATCTAAATAAACGAATGTATGATATATACTTATCCGAAACACCATTCATGTTTGAACTTTTGATATGCCGTTATTCTAAACGTGTTAGGTCGACAGAATATATGCAAAGACAAGTAAGATATATATATATATCATCCCTGTCCAATAATACTGGAATCAAAGGGACATACACAGAAGATATCGCAATTTTTTTCATTAGGAATTGTATGTAGGGTCATCCATATCGTCGTTCGACTGCAAACTGTTAGAAACCTCGATTGGATTAGCATTATTCCAACACATTAGAGATCCCACAAGATACGACTTAAGAAACTCTTCCTCTCTTTTAGATTTAGTCTTCACACACGGTGATGACATTGGTCAAACGGCTTTTCTCCCACCACTTGGGAGAAGTGACCATGCAGTCATCTTATTCAAATTCATGGCTGAAATTGCTTCTCAAACAATTGCGCCGGCCCGTCCTAACATATGGAAGGCAGATATGCAGGCAATTAACTCCGCAGCATCGGCTAAGAACTGGGAAATTGACTCAAAGGCATCAGTACAAGAGGCATGGACTCTATTCAGGCAGTTATACAATCGGGTAACTCAACCATATATACCCTGGACTGTCCCAAAGAAAAAGAAGCACGGACATCCCTGGTTAAGGCGGGATATTTGATGCTTACTAAGACAAAAGAAGAAATGCTGGGATGTTGCCTTGGCACAGCAGGTACGATGGAACGCTACAGATCGATAAGAAACGAGTGTATAACGAAAATTCGGGAATCTCAAAGAAAATATGAAATGCAGCTGGCACAATCTGCACTCAAGCAGCCCAAGAGAATATTCTCGTACATAAGCTACAGAACAGGGATGCATCACTGGATTCCCAACCTAATTAAAGTAGGAAGTGAATCTGAAATGATAGAGGAAGATCAAGAAAAAGCAGAGGCTATGGCTGACTATTTTGGGGCAGTTTTCACTCAGGAACCTCCTCTAGAGAAAGAACCAGACCCAAATATAGAGTCAACAAACCAGCTGCTCATCGTGGACTTCGACCAAAACGATGTGTTTAAGGCTCTTAGCACCCTAAACATGGAAAAGTCAACAGGACCAGATGAGCTACACCCCAAAATCTTGAGACATATTGCTCAATATATCGCGACCCTACTGACTGTGATATTCAATATGTCACTTGACCAAGGTGTGTTACCTATGGACTGGAAGGACGCAGTCGTCACTCCCATACATAAAACAGGTCCACGACAAGTTCCATCGAATTACAGACCCGTAAGTCTCACCAGTATTGTAATTAAAATACTAGAAAGAATAATCAAACGGACCATAACAGCATTTATGGAAACCAATAACTTGCTGAATATGGCACAGCATGGTTTTAGAAAGGGTCTATCCTGTCCAACGAACCTCCTTATAGCAAGGGAGTTCTGGATTAATGGGCTAGACAACGGAAACTCAGTGGATGCTGTCTACATAAATTTCAGTAAGGCTTTTGACAAGGTGCCAACTAATAGACTGCTATGGAAGTTGGAAAACCTTGGTATTTCCGGACCTCTTTTAAAATGGATTAAAGATTTCCTAGTAGGTCGTAGACAAAAAGTAAGAATAAATTCCAAGTGCTCCATCTGGAGACCAGTACTTAGTGGAGTACCCCAAGGTTCCGTCCTAGGTCCTTTACTTTTTATAATGTACGTTAATGATCTTACAAGTATAGTACAGTCTCCAATTTTATTATACGCTGACGATGTAAAAATTTGGCGAGTAATAACTGGAGACAAAGACGCATGTGCTCTTCAGGCAGACTTAAATAATATGATAAACTGGTCTAAAGAGTGACTGATGCCTATCAACGCGGCAAAGTGTGTCTACATGCACTTGGGGGATTCAAAGGTTAATAAGTACAATATAGGGAATGTGTCATTATCCGTAGTCCGGTCTCATAAGGACCTAGGGGTGACAGTGAGCAATGATCTTAAGACGACGGCCGATTGCCGGGAGGTCGCAGCCAAGGGGTTTCGAACTCTCTGAGCTTTAAAACGGACATTCACTAAGTTAGATACTACCATGTTCACCACATTATACACATCCTTAGTGAGAACTAAGCTAGAGAACTGCACTCAGGCTGCAAGCCCCTGTTTAAAAGGTGACTCTGACACACTAGAAAAAGTACAGAGGGCAGCTACCCGTGCAATTCCGGAACTTCGGGGTTTATCATACAAAGAGCGGCTCGAAAAACTGGACCTCTTTACTCCGTCCTACCGCAGACTAAGGGGAGATCTAATTTTGATGTACAGAATAGTGAGAAATGATTTCGGACCTAACTTATTCTCTCTCTTTCTTCCCACTAGATCGAGACACCTTAGAGGACATAGCAGGCGAGTAGAAAAGCCAAGAACGAACAAAATACCCGTGGCATATAGGTTTTCACACCGCGTCATCAATACTTGGAACCTGTTGTCTGAAGCAGTGGTGTCCGCACCTTCAATTGACTCTTTCAAGAGAAGACTGGACACTCACAGAAGCATACTAGAAAAGGAATAACATAGGCCGTAGGCCTTCTGTCCTTACTACACAAATCTGAATCTGTATGTATATGGACCACATAATTATTGGCGCTTAGTCAATAAGCAATAAATAAATGACCTGTAACTTTTCACATTTATGTTGCCATGGGTCCGCTGCAACACTTCGTAGTACCTAAATGCTAAGATAGCAGTAAACACTTTTTAAGACCATGAAGTTTGAGGTTTCAACTTTGTAAGGGTTAATGGGGCTCTCTCCTCGCGGGTACCTGTAAAAAGTGGGGTTCCCCAAGGCACAATCCTAGGTCCTCTTCTCTTTCTATTTTATGTAAATGAATTGCCAACTGTAGCAAAATCATCCGTTCTACTCTTCGCTGATGACATAAAGATTTGGAGACCCATACATAGTATGTCGGATAGAATAGTATTACAGGACGATCTTAGCTCATTGGTGACATGGTTAGACAGGTGGTCACTAGAAGTAAATCCTAATAAGAGTGTAGTGATGCAGTTAAATAACTCTGATGAATCATATGACTATACACTACGTAGATTCGTGCTACCCAAAGCAAGAAACTATAAAGACTTAGAAGTTATATTAAGCAATGATCTCAAAACGAATAGTCACTGTAAGGCTGCTGCTGCAAAAGGCTATAGGGTATTATGGTCAATTCGTAGGTCTTTTCAGTATTTAGATGATGAAATGTTTGGATTACTATACCCGATTTATGTGCGACCACATTTAGAATATGGTATTCAAGCAGCGAGTCCTTGCTTCAAATATGAAGCAGATATGCTAGAAAGAGTCCAACGATGAGCTACTAAAATGGTACAAGGTCTAGCTGGCCTATCTTATGAAGACAGACTGAGACACCTTAACTTATTTCCGTAATCTTACCGTACAGTACGGGGTGATCTAATATTGGCTTATCGTATACTGAAGGATGACCTTGGTATTAACATGTCTTATCTTTTGCTTCCATCTAGAACCAATCATTTGAGAGGACATTCGAAGAAAGTTCAAAAACCGAGATCAAACCGTTTACGTCTGGAGTTCCGTTTCTCGCACCGAGTAGTGAATTAATGGAATTCTCTACCGGAACACGTAATATCAGCACCTCAACAATATTTCAAACTGCAAGGATTAATATAGGTCGACAGACCTCTTATCCTTATTACTGAAGACTGAAGTTCCAAAGCATGAATACATATGTGTAAATACATATATGTAAATATGCATATTTCGGGTACATGTAAAAATCCTCACTTTGAATATATTTGTGCTTTCAGTTCATTCAAAATTTCGATCGTAAAACTTTCACAGTGAGACTTAATTTCGCTTTTTTCTTGGTGGGCAATATCAGCTACTGTAGATGTCCGATAAAACCTCAGCTCACTTAATGCACAACTCAACTCTTCTTCAATCCTTGAACGAAGAACTGTTTCATATTTTAGTTCCTATGATGGTTAAGCGAACTAAAAAACATACTTCATTCAAAGAATCTAATTGTTGCTCAAGGTTTTTAATGATGTTGAGATTTTCATCGGTAGAAAATTGGTTGTTTACGAATAGTACCTCATTAGATCTTAATTGCATATCATTCACTTCCTGCCTCAACTTTTTTATTTCTTTCTGTATAAAGTTGAATTAAATGTCACTCAATAACCTCATTTTCTTTTAGATTCACTTCAAATCTTGACAAATGAACAGGCCTGTTTGGGACGCAGTTCCTCATGATGTGTGTTGACACAATTGAAAATGCAACATGTAACCGTAACTCAACAACAAGCACTTAAACCCCATTGAGTAGTGCTATGATGATTTCTTTTTATTTACATGTATACTGAAATACTTTGCACTAGCGATATCTGTTATTGAGATCCGCACTTTTTAGGAACTTTGTGATCAGTAGTAAAAATGAGAAGTACCCCTCTACAGTGTGGTCTTACAACTTATAATTTTTCATATTAAATCTTCTTGACTTTTACGATAAATGATGTCACTTTAAGTTGTACACTTTGTTATGCCAGAACGTCAGTGTCTAATTCAGCGGAAGCTTTTACGACACATTTTCTATTATTATTGTTGTTATTATTATCGTCACTATCCTCCTCAAGCAGTCAGACCCGTGTATGACGCAACTAAATAGTCCAAATGTTTCCAGATGGATAAGCACTGTCTTTCATTTTGAAGGGCTTCTGCACCTAGCATCACTGAATCACCGATGCCTTCAGATGGAGTCCTAAATATACTAAACAGTCAAAAGAGAAGAGCTAGTCAATAATAATAGAATACTGCCATCAACTCTAAAGAATATATCTACTCAACCCCTAAAGAACTTTACGGAAGCCACTTAAATTACCTAAGCCAGAAGCAAATCCCGAAATTGCGTTACACGTAAAGATTAGAAGGTGCCCCTACCGTCCACTCTATACCTAGTAAATAAGTTTTTTTAAAAACTAATGTTTACATTAATCCCAGAATACTACTAGTTGAATAAAATAACACAATAGATAGCTAAATAGGTCTGAAAAGTATATGCAGCTATAAATCCTAGTGTATTGCTTATCTCGAGTAACCCTTAACAGGTTACACTTGAGTCAGTAATACCTTCGACAAGTATAACACTTTTAATTTTAAGAGATTGGATTTTCCACCTGAGACTAGAAGAGTCCATATTTAGGATTTTGGACTACTTAACTGTTTAAGTTTGAACCCCCTCTCCATAAGGCACAGTCCTACGACCAGGGATGTCGAAATAGCTCTTCTGGGTTCTGCTTTCAAGTTGTCTCCAAATAGTATTCATGGTTCTAGTGTCTCTTCCCGATTCCCGCAGACATATGCTCTTCAATCTGCTTCATTTCCCTCCACTTTGACGACACCAAGTTGTGTCTTGTCTTGTGATTTGGTTTTGTAGCGGTAAATAAATCCCCAAAATAAATAGCTCTGTAAGTTTTCGACATTGGATGCTGGCCAGATTAGTTTTAGTGGACTCACCTAGCTGAAGGCGCTCGGTCATGCATCCTTACCAGACCACGTGTGGGAACGCTGTGCTCAACATCTTCCGCAATCGCTGGCCAGATCTTCTAATGCCGAGGATTTTCAGTCAAAGAAAAGCCTCAAATGACTCAGAATGATATAACCGAGTTATGTCATACACTTACTCGTTATCTTAGTTTTCGTAACGACCGTAAGCGATCACACACTCCAAGTAGAAGCACTTCACGTAAGCGATCTTCCTCTACACCACGAGAGACGGATAATCCCGACTGGTGCTGGTATCATAACCCTGCAATTTTCTCATCTCAAAACCGACTGACTCGAAAAACAAGTCGGGAAACTTCCAAGCCGGCACGCGTTAACGGCAACCGTAGCCGGCGAACACAGCCGTCAGTTATACGTCACAGATGTGACAACGAGGGTTCACTACCTCGTCGACACTGGCGCAGAAGTTAGAGTTCTCCCAGCAAATTCTGACGACCGACTTCACGAATCGGCTGTAAACTTAGAGGCGGCAAACGGAAAACCGATCGCTATGTGTGGCAAAAGGTACGTTTATCTTAACGTGAGTTTACGCAAACCCATTCACTGGATCTTCGTTGTTGCAGATGTTTCTATGCCAATCATTGGTATGGACCTTCTACAACACCACAATCTAATCATCGACACTCGCAAACGAAGGCTAGTAGACGGAAACACTAATTTGTCCGTTCGCGTAACTTCTTTTACTGGTTGTAGTGTATCCCCAGTCACAGTTAAACATATGATAGACCCACTCTATCAACCACTACTGGATAAGTACCCTGGGATACAACAAACTCAACCGAAACTACCGTGTGTAACCAGCAATGTTACACATCACATCACGACTACAGGACCACCTGTATTCTCTAAAGCACGACGACTAGCTCCTGAAAAGCTAAGGTTAGCGAAAAACGAATTCGATCACATGATGGACTTAGGAATCATACGACCGTCAAGTAGCCCATATGCATCTCCGTTGCACATGGTCCCTAAAAAGGACAGCGACGATTGGCGTCCAACTGGTGACTATCGGCGATTGAACGCGAAAACCATTCCCGATCGTTACCCGTTGTCTCACATTCACGATTTGACAGCTACCTTGAAAGGTACAACTGTCTTTTCGAAAATCGACTTGGTTAAAGCGTATAACCAAATCCCTATGGCTACTGACGACATACCGAAAACAACTATCATAACTCCTTTCAAACTCTATGATTTTTTGCGAATGCCTTTCGGTTTAAGAAACGCTGCCCGAACATTCCAAAGATTCATAGACGACGTTTTTCGAGGTCTCAACTTCGTACATGCGTATGTTGATGACTGCCTAATCGCAAGTCCGGACAGAGAAACACATCTCAAGCATCTGGATCTAGTTTTCGAACGACTAAAGAAACGTGGCCGCCAAAAATCTAAGGTTAACTGACACGATACATGTCCCTTAGGCTCATTAAATACTCCCAAGGCTCTTTTCGACCATGTTCATCTGGATTTGGTAGGACCTTTACCATCTTCAGCCTAATAGTTTGTGCATAATTTGACCTAACCAATTCCAGCTTCCTTTCTTGATTTACTCCCCCTCAAGTGGTAGCCAAAGTACGCTATTAATGTTGATATCTGGCTAGTGAGCCTGGTGTAAATATATTGGCACAATTCGCGAAATTGGAAGCAATACGAATACCAAGCTATGCTCATCTTAATCAGGGATCTGAAATAGTTATTGGAGTTCATTTGTTACTGAACAATAGCTCACACGCGGGATTTCACTCCAGTTATGCAAGGGGGAACAATTAGTGACGTCTGAACACTGAAGTCAAATGATTTCTAGTGGGTAACTGGTAAAATTGGTGGATTATTTCAGAAGTTTACTGCGAGAAACTAGTACTCAGGGAGTGTCTCAGGGCTCGATACCAGTACCACTATTGATTGTCCTTTGTTTTATTCATCACTCACGTATCATCAGGCTTCTAGTACTGCATTGCCCTATTGATGAAAATATACGAAGATAAGTAAGTCTCATTTGCCAAAGGAAAGACCTGGCTATCCTGATAAGATACCTAAACTCCAAGGTTGAAATAGACAACACAAGGTATGAGGATATCATAAGACGACATAGACCGAGATAAAAGAACGGGAGTGGTGAGTGATTCGCACATTTATACTCATTCTACAAGGAATGAACAAGACAGAAACAACCAATAACAGTTGAACACAAAAAGAGAAAGTCAAAGCACATATCGAATACACAGAAGAAAACAAGCAAGTGAAGAAGAGAATTAGAGCAGACAGGCAGGAATACGTGGAATACTTAGAAACGATAGCGGGAAAAGCTGCAAGAGAAGAAACTGGCGAGGAAACATGGCAAACTAGAGAGAGCTGTCAAGGACAAAAAAGGCAAGCCATTCGCTGAGATCCAAGAATAGCGGACCAGGTGGGCAGTGTGATATGAAGAATTCTTGAATAGACCAACCAAACTGAACCCATCAGGCGTCGAAGCAACACACAGACATTCCTATAGATGTCACTCCAACATCGATCGAAGAAACCAGGATGGCCATCGGATAAAGTGTGGGAAATTGGCAGGATCTGAAAAATCCCAGCCAAAACACTGAAGTAAGTCATAGCAGTAGCTTCAATCATGCTCCACGTTCTACTCAGGAACTTTTTAGGGGAAGAACATATGCAAACAATCCGGTAAAAGCGATAAGTCACCAAGATACCATAGGAAAGGGATCTGAGTGAGTGTATTAGTGACATTGGCGCCACAACCATCTCTGTGTTGGGCAAAGTTTCTGATAGTGTTTTGTAAATGAATTTAAGATCCTCTAGAGATATAAACTCAAGATAAACAACCTGACGTTCTTTAAATAACCAGACAATAAAATTTATAGTTATTAGTTTTTTTTTACACTACTTTCGTGATACACTTTGCATTCTAGTAAACAGCCTTCATTATTCTGACTTGTATTTAATCATTTGAACATACTCCACCTCGTTACATATCAGAAGTCACTGTTTTTTATTACCGCATTCTATTACCTAGAAGCGATAACCTAATTTCATTCTAGTAACAGGAGTTAGTAATTCATGATCCCTGTCTGTTCCACTACAAAATATTAAGCATAGTTTAGTGTTTATACCCAAATACCTCGCTGCTCCTCTGTCTCTCTTTTTTGGCATCACGGCCTCAGGGCATAGCTAAGGAACATCTGACTTTTGAAACAAACTTGATGTGCGCGTTTTTTCAAGGTCACAGCTCATGCTAAATGCTCTTTAAAGTTACATCACATTAAACACAAACCTGGTGTGCAACTTGAACACGATGTCATTTAGGAAAAATGTTTTAAAAACTTCACTCACTGCAGTTGCTGAATTATGGTCTACTTTGTTATCAGCACTATTATAATAATATACCTAATCCTAAAATTATAGATATGTCACGATGTAACTGCCTAATCTATAGGATCATGCGTGGAAGTAATATCATTGTCTACACTGACTCATCGTAACAATTAACAATATGATAGATACTTAATACTTCTGGAAAACACATTTGGGCTAGAAATAGAATAATATATTCGAAATGAATAAAGACATGTTATACAGAATGATCACGTTTGCGAGGCCGAGCCATGCCATCAGGTTGAATTTATTGTTCCCACGTTCACCATTGTTGGCCTTTACACCGTGTTAAATGTCGAATATCTATCTTCT